ACCTCAAGTTGAGCAGAGTTTACTTATTGAAACAATAAAGGTAGAAGTCACAAGGGAAAGAATTGATAAACTTCAGTGTAAATATGTGGGGCCAGCACTGTGGTGCAGCGGGTTAACTCCCTGGCCTGAAGCTCTGGCATCCCATATGGGCGCTGGTTCTAGACCTGGCTGCTCCACTTTCGATCCAGCTCTCTGCTATGGCCTGGGAAAGCAGCGGAAGATGGCCCAAGTCCTTGGGCTCCTGTACCCGTGTGAGAGACCCGGAAGAAGCTCCTGGCTCCTGGCTTTGGATCGACGCAGCTCCGGCCATTGCAGCCATCTGGAGAGTGAGCCAGCGGATGGAAGACCTCTCCCTCTCTCTGCCTCTCCTTTCTCTGTGTAACTGACTCAAGTGAAACAAATAAAAAAATCTTAAAAAAAAAAAAAAAGACTGGCGCCATGGCTCACTAAGCTAATCCTCTGCCTGCAGCGCCAGCACCCCGGGTTCTAGTCCCGGTTGGGGTGCCAGATTTTGTCCCAGTTGCTCCTCTTCCAGTCCAGCTCACTGCTGTGGCCCAGGAGTGCAGTGGAGGATGGCCCAGGTCCTTGGGCCCTGCACCCGAATGGGAGACCAGGAAGAAGCACCTGGCTCCTGGCTTCGGATTGGCGCAGTGGCTGGGTGCAATGCACTGGCCGTAGTGGCCACTTGAGGGGTGAGCCAACGGAAAAAGGAAGACCTTTCTCTCTGTCTCTCTCTCTCTCTCACTGTCTAACTCTGCCTGTCAAAAAAAAAAAAAAAAAAAAAAGTAGCCTCCCCACCCCCATAAACTCCACACATTCTTTCTGTGCAGAAAGAAATATTGAACAATTTTTTAAAAAGTGTAAATATGTGTGACTTCTGCTGCTTAGCCAGGCTGGCTACAGGGTAGAATTCGTTTCACTGCAGCGGGCAGGCAGGGGACTTAGCAGCCTTCTCACCTTCTCCTACCCCTGTCCCTTACCCCTTATTCTTCCCCAGAGCAATCATAGAAATGAGAATTCCTGGCCCCCTAGAAACCAGGATCCTATTTCCCCAAAGACATCCATAAGACCTAAAAATGTTACTCTAGGGGCTGGCGGTGGGTGCAGTGGGTTAAACTGTTGCCTATAACACTGGCATCCCGTATCAGAGTAATTGTTTGAGTCCAGGCTGCTCTGCTTCTGATTCAGCTCCCTGCTAACATGCCTGAGAGAGCAGTGGATGATGGCCCAAGTAATTGGATGCCTGCCACCCACATGGGAGACCCATTTGGAGTTCCAGGTTCCTGGCTTTGGCCTGGCCATTGCAGCCATTTGGGGAGTAAATCAGCAGATGGAAGGTCTCTCTCTTTCTTTCTCTCTCTCTCTCTCACTCTGCCTTTCAACTAATAAATAAATCTTTTAAAATGTATTCCCCTAACTCCCCTTTTTCTTTCTGTCTTAGTGGATCTTAAGGATCTTCTATATCCCACAGTCAATCATAAGACCCCCATTTCAGAAGAGGCAGGAGGCAGGAAGGCTGGCCAAGCAGGCTGAGAAGAATCTGCACAGACGGGCCTTGCTGAGTTTCCCCACCCAGTTTATTAACATCGGGTCATGTGCAGTCCCGTGTGTACAGGACCATCCACGCTTCATCAGACCTAGGCATGAACGGATAGCTCCATGGGTCTTCAAGCTGAAGGCTCCCATGTCATGTAAAACTGTGACCAAATACATTTGTGTTGTTCTTGTTAGCCTGTCTTTTGGTGGAGAGGCGTTGGTCGTGACTTTACGATGCGCGGGAAGGATCACCGTCTTGCCTAGCTTCACAGTGCTCGGCCTGGGAGAGCCACAGAGTGTGATTGATGCATCACCTCTGCAGCAGTACAGGAAGCCCTAAGCCTCCCATTGTGTTCATCTCAGCTCCAGCCACACACACAGGCCAGCCTCTCTCAGTCCCAGCTCCAGTTCTTGGAAGAGAACAATCTGATTAGTTCAGCTTGGGTGGCCTCAGAGAAAATAGTTCTTTTGATTAGAGATGATACCCAACCTTGTCCTACTCAGGATGGTGATTTACTCGTGATGCCCCACAAAAAAGCCCTTGATGATAATACACACACACATACACACACACACACATACACACACATACCCCTAGGCCTCACCTTGTCCTCTGAGCAGTGTTCTGGAATACATCAATGCTCTAATTTCTCATGTTCTCCACTCTCCTATCTTAATTCCAGAGGAGAAGAGAAGGTAGAAATACAAGACACTGGGGGTGCTTTATATGCCTTGGCTACCATAGCCAGGGTTCTTTTGTAGCAAGAAGCGAAACTGTGCTTCAAGTTACCCTGGGTCAAACATGGAGGGACTCACCACCAAGACACAGGGTATGTCAGCCAGCATTGCTGGCTGCACTGAGCAGCCAAGCATGGGCATCCTGGGAGAGCTGTGGGAGTTCCCAGAACAGAGGCAAGTTGGAGGCCATGGCTTGGCAGATGGACAGGACTGAGGCAGCAGGTGCCACAGCTGTGATCCTCCAACCGAGAGCAGGACAAGGGTGCTGACCTGCCGTCACTGCAGCTGCCACATCCGGCTTCCTGGAGCTCCTGCAGGAATGACCTCAGTGCTGGGACACAGCATGGCATGGCTGAGCCTTAGGCCACCCTGTGCGGTGACAGGGAGAGGGAGGCCCTGGCTCTGGAGTTTCCAGAAGAGAGGCAGCGTTTTCATCTCCCTGGAGCACCCAGTGAGTGGGGAGAGCCTGTTTTAGGTAGGGCAGCTTCAAAACTGAGAGCCACAGATGGCAAAATTCCACCGTAAGGGCTATCTCGGCAGCCTTGGGCACGGAGGCGTCTGAGCAGTGGGACCCAGCTACAACTGCCCCCAGGAGGGTCTCTGCCTCCTGTTCCCCCATCCCACCTTATTCTGATCTCTAGCTCTGTTCCTCTCACTGTAGGCATGAGCCTCCTTTTTTTAAAAAATTTTTTTCAAGAGGTAAAGAGACAGAGACATACATAGGAGCTCCCCTTTGCTGGTTCCCCCTCGCCCAAAGCCACAACAATCAAGACTGGGTCAAGCTAAAGCCAGGAGCTGGAAATTCAGTCCAGGTCATCCACGTGGGTGGGAAGGACCCAGCCACCTAGCCATCACCTAGGTCTCCACTGGCAGGAAGCTAGAGTCAGGAGCTGGAGTGGGGAGATCAAACTCAGGACTCCAATGTGGGACCCAGGTAGCTTGACGGTGTCTTAACCCCTTGGCCGGATGCCTGTCCCTGGGCCTCTCATTCTACTCATCTCAGCTTCAACCACACACACAGGCCAGTCTCTTGCCATCCCAATTCCAGTTCTTGGGAGACACAATCTGATTAGTTCAGCTTGTGTGGGTTCAGTGACTATGGTTCTTTTAAATGGAGCCGGTACCCTAAACATGTCCTACTCACTCTGTTGAAGAATAAAATGTGGGTGTGTATGTGCTGAGACTGGGCTGTGCAGAAGGAACGTGAAGACCCCTTCTCTCCAACAAAGGAAATAACAAAAAAGCCCAGTTCTTTTCAAATAACTGCAGTCACGGCATCTCTACCAGCAGCTGGGTGCTTCCTTAGATCCTATTTTTGCTCTGCCATGCCACAGGTTCATGTTACTCTGCATTTGGATAGAGCCAGACTGTAACTTCTTTAAAAATAGATGATAATTTGGGTTTCCCTGTACCAGCAGGGACTCTTATTCCATGTCCCAGTGAAATTATATATTTTTGTAAAAATATTTATTTATTTGAAAGTTAAGAGTTATACAGAGAGAATGGAGAGGTGCAGGGTGTGGGAGGGGTCTTCCATCCACTGGTTCACTCCCCAGATGGCCACAATGGCAGGAGCTGCACTGATCAGAAGCCAGGAGCCAGGAGCTTCTTCCAGTCTCCCATGCAGGTGCAGGGGCCCAAGGACTTGGGCCATCTTCCACTGCTTTCCCAGGCCATCAGCAGAGAGCTGGATTGGAAATGGAGCACCCGGGACTCAAACCAGCACCACATGGGATGCTGGCACTGCAGGCAGTGGCTTTACCCGCTACGCCACAATGCCAGCCCCTGCAATTATATTTCAGCTCCCTATTTTGCTCCCGTCTCTAAAACCTGCATCTGGCAAATGCCTGCCACATACAAAGCACCTGTAAATGTGGTTAACTGAGCCACTGGATCTACCAGTCAGCGAGTCACTTCACCGGAGCCAAAGGGGCTTTCTTCAGCAACACATGAGGGCCGGGTTCTGCAGTAAGAGACTTGATTACTTCACCTGCACTGCAGGGTGTCCTCCTTCCTCTCAGTGTTGCCTTATTTCATGCTCTCCATTTCCACAGCCTTGTTCCTCCTCACCATCATCTCCTGGCGCAACCCTCTGCTGCGTCTTGTTACACTGGCTGCTTGGACCCCATTCTCCAAAGAGCAGCCAGAGGGAGCTTGTGAGAAGCCGATCAGATCCTGCAGCTTCCCTGGATTTGGGGCAGCCTCTCCAGACTGGCCTCCCCCCTTATCTCCACTCCAGACAAGGTGTTCTCTTCTCTCCCTTCTCCCCCACGGCCTTGCCCCACTCCCTTCCTCCTCTCTGGAACGCTCTGCCTCATCTACACCTCAGTCTTGTGCAAAAACTACTAAATGGCCTTCAGATCTTCCCTCAAGCAGCCCTCCCTGGGGCCACTATTGGCCTCATTTTAACTTCATCGCCACTTTCTCACAGCTGTCTCCATAGTCACATTCCAGGGCTTCAGTGAGTGAATTTCAGAGGCACAGAATTCAGCCCCTAACCGGCACTTCCCTTCTGGCTCACCATTGTGTCCCTCTCACCGGAATCTGGACAGACAGTGCCTGGGTTTTTGTAGGACTTGATCAGCACCTGTAATGACTGGATTTCAGCTCCATCCCTCCCCCACGAAAAGGAAGAGAGGCCACAATTGCTGCATAAGGATCAAACGTGACCACAAGAAGTGTTTGTGATGCTGATTTTGAAATTACAGACTTTTAGGGAAGTGTGGCTCCCTCCTCCCACCTCAGGACAGGACAAAACCAGCCCCTTCAGCAGCTGACCCTTGCTGCCCTGGGTGTGTCTGCTGCCCCCATGGGCTGCAGCCGGTAAGTTTTGCTAACAGCTGCACACCCAGGCAACTGTCCCTCTTTAGAAGGTGAGTCATGGGCTGCTGGGAGTGTGGACCTGCGTAGCTCTGGGAATGCAGTTTAGCAATAGGTACGGGAACCTAAAAACAGTGGTGTCTTGCAACTTTCTAATTCTAAGGTTAGAGCCTGAGGCAACTGGTGGGGTGTGGGTGGGGATGGGCTCAAGACACACTTATAACCAACCCAGTTTTAACTCTTTAAAATATTTCTCACTATGATAGTCGTGCTTTGGTAAATCTGGTCCATTCCTATGGTAGGCAGTTAGGTAGCAATCATTGAGAAGAATTCTATGAAGAGTTTTTAACAATGCAGGAAAACGTTATGTTGCAAAATAACAGATTGAATATACACTCCGATCTCAGGTGTATTATAAATACGGTCATTTACATGCATATTCATATTGACAGGGAAAATCTGAATTGGTAAATGCCCATATGTTAGTACTGTTATTTATTTATTTTTAGAACCAGAGATTTTTCTTTCTTTATGCTTCTTGTGTTGAAATTAGTGTGTGTTGCTTTTACAACCTGAAAAGACCGGCAACGTTGTGTGCGGAGTCGGTACTGCCGGTCCATGGAATTCTTAGCTCCGGGTTTCTCACAGGGAAAGAGGCCGCTGAGCAGCCCTTCCGGGAGAATCTCTCGTCCCAGGTTTCTGGAGAGTGCTGGAATCCCCGCAGCCGGAGGAGGAGGAGGAGACGACCGACCGGCTTGGCGTGGCGCTCCGCTGGGGGTGGAAAGGCAGGGGAGGGGCTGAGCGAGCTCTGTGCTAGGCTGGGTGCCTGAAACCCTGGTCCAGCCCCCGGCCCTCGCGGCCACCGCCCAGCCCGCTGTTCCATGGCCAGGTGCAAAATGCCTTGTCATCTGGAGAGCCCGCGGCCGGAGCATTGAATTACAGCTCAATGGAGCCCCGCTAGGGCGGCGGGCGCGGAAGCAGAGCAGAAGCCCCTGTTCTCGGAAGGCCCGCTGAGCGGCCAGGTGAGCACAGCCCGGGCAGCGCAGCCGAGGCAGGGTCCGAGCCTTGCCCAGTGGAGCAGCCCGGGGGTGGGGTCTGTTCGCTTTTAAGAGAAGAAGCTCGGAGCCGAAAGCCGAGCCTGCCCTCCCCGGGAGAGGACCCACTAGCTGCCCCTCTGCCGTCTGCGACCTTCCCCAGCCCTCCAGGCGCCCTGGGCGCACGGAGCTCTGCTCGCGCCAGACATGCTGAGGGTCTTCTTCCTCTACGCGGAGAACGTCCACACCCCGGACTCCGACATCAGCGATGCCTACTGCTCCGCGGTGTTCGCAGGTAGGAGGGGCTCGCGGAAGGGTCAGGGAGGGAACACCCGGGCTCTCCACCCCTGAGAGCGCCCCGAGGTGGGAGACAAGGCTCCCCAGCTCCGCTTCGACCGAGCCTGAGTGTTGCAAAGATACGCGTCCTCGGTTGGAGCGACTCAGAGGGAAACTGAGGTAGAGAGCGAGAGAGCGCGCGCCGGAGAGCGAGACAGAGCGAGCGAGCGAGAGCGAGCGCAGAATGGCGCTTCTAGGGCTGGAAGCTGAGCCCGCGTCGGCCCGAGGGAGGCCAGGAAGGCAGGATCCGCATCTCTGCTCTCACCTCTCCCTTTCTCTGAGAAGAGGTCTTTTCCGCGCTGGGCAGCAAAGCGCCGAACTGCAGGGCTCCTCTCCCCAAAGGCCTGGTCCCATCCTATTTATAACCCGCTCTCCCCTCCTGCCAGCGCCTGGCGGCTCTCCCTGGCCTTTGCTCGCCCTCAGAGGCTGGGCTGGCAGGCCACTGGGGGCGGAGGCTCGCCCACCCCTCCAACAATCCTGAGTTTGCCCTGGGCACGGCCCTGGGGAGGTTAGCAGCTGGGACACAGCGGTCACCAGCAACAAACCTCAGGGGCTTTGTCCTCTCTCTCACCCCACCAGACTGGTGGTTTCTGGTTTCCATCATCAGATGGGGTCTCCCTGAGCAGGAAGATCTTTTCAGGGTTAGGCCTGCACTTTTCCTCAGTGAGGGCCAAGCCAGAGCTGGGGTCTCCAGCAGCTGGGTCTTTGGGTTTGAAGTCATCACGGGGGAGAAGGACAGCACGTGTTTGAGCTCTGTGCACTCAGCCCCTGTTATCTGACAGAGCGGACTCCTGATCTACCTATCTTCCCCATCCGCACCCCCAGGCCTCGAGAAAGCACAGCATTGGTTGGCTCCTGGCCATCCAGCATGGAAAAGTTCCTTTCCCTTTCCTGAGCTCCGGGATCCACTTGTTCACAGGCGCGAGCACAGTTTGGAGCACCGTGGGCTCCCTCGCATGCTCCCTAGAGCCGATGTCCTGGTGCACGCCCACCGCACCCACTAGGGGTGTGAGGTTTGGGGCCTTAGCGCACTGACTGGAAGCGAGAGCAGGGCTTTGGTGCAGGTGAAGCGGGAGCTGTGATGCGGGTGATGGCGATGCTGCAGCTGTGTGTTTGTCCTCACGTGCTGCCTTGGCCTGTTCTCCACCAGTTTCCATGGGGCCTCCGGAAATGAGCTCTCTCAAGGTGTTTCCAGCAGGGAGGACACAGGGGTCAGTGAGGGTCTCTCGTGTTTCCTTTCTGCATCCTCAGCTCTGGGCAGGGCAGGCAGGGCCTGGCTGAGGGCCCTGGGTTCCTTGTAGCACAACTGCAGGGGGCAGCGTTCACCATTTGCACTGTAAATGCCCCTTGGTGGGGGCGGGGAGCACAGGCACTTGTGCATTAAGCAGCCCCCTTGCAGCCGTGCCTCTGCCTCCAGCTGCCTTCTCAGTCTCTCCCCTGAGCACTGAGTTGGCTTTGTGAGTGGTGCCCCCTGCAGTGGTACAAATGCACCCCCCCCCAAGGTGGGCCGCAGCTCCTGTTCTGGGGGAGGGGGGCTTGTCTCTGCTGTCTGCCTGCCTGGAGCCACATTTTCCTCCACCTTCCCCATCACACCCCCTCCCGGATGCCGGGGCCACACTTGCCTTCTGCCTCAGGCAGTGGAGTACCTACTTCCACCCCGGCAGACTCAGAGCAGCAGTGCAGAAAGGAAATAATGAATAATGAATGCCAAGCACTTTCTAACCCAGAAGAGCTTTCCCCGACAGGAAGTGGTCCTGGTGTGGCTTCTACTCTGTCTTTATTTCGGCCCCCAGGGCCTGTCTGTGGGGCAGGCTCCCCCTCCTCTGTCCCCAGCCTCTCCCTTGGTCTGCACCTGCCAGGTGTCGGGCCCCAGGCCTGCCCTTTGCCCACTGCCAGGCTTCTCTGGCCGGGCTCCCCCTTCCTGGCTCTCAGGCCTGGCTGCAGAGAAAGAAAATATATTGTTTGCTCCGATCAAGAGCCTCTGAGCCGGGGGAGGAGGCCGGCTGGAACCCCCACTCTCAGTCTTCACTGTCACTACCAGGCAGTCAAGGGGAATGCAGTCCCCCCTCCCCCAGCCACTGGCCACATTCCACCCCCTGCATTTGCCAGGCTCCTAGGCCATGTCCAAATTTGGCCTCCCCGCGGCTTTCAGCCCTACTCACTCCCCTTCTCCCAGTCCAGGCCCAGCTGGTGAACGGTTACACGGAAGGCTCTGGGCTCAGGGCAAAACACCCTTCTGGGAAGACTCCCCCTCCCTGTCTGGCCTGGAGCTGACTTCCAGGCCTCTGGTTTTTCCCCTGAAGCCCCTCCTTTGGCTATCTGATTATATACCCCATAAGGACACCTGCAGTTCCTCTGTGCAGGTGTAGATTAACCTCGTGCTCACAGCAGCTCTGCCAGGCCGAAGGGCAAGAACATTAATATTATCCCCTCTTGACAGATGAGGCTGTGGGCCCAGAGGAGGCCAGGGCCTGGCCACAGTCACACACTGGCCACAGCACACCCCTCCCCCATCGTCTGTGCTCTCTGTTATTATCAGCATCCTGGGCTCCTGAAGAGGAAAGTGCTCTGGGACGCGTACCCCGCGCTGCCCACACTCAGCACACCCAGGGCAAGGCCTGAGTGGGAACAGGGAGGTGTGTGTGTGTGTATGGGGGGGGTACCCTGCAGGGGGCTGGATTAAAGTAGGGGAGCGACAGGCCTCAGGCAGCGCACGGTGAGGCAGATGACCAAATGATGGAAGATTCCTATTTGTCAAATATGTATTTATCTCACAGTTAGGGAATGGCAGCTCGTTCAGCACAAATAATGTGCCATTTTGAGATGCTGTCTCTTTAAAACCCTGCCACAGTGTTATAAAGAGAGCTATTTAACAGACACAGTGCTTATTATGTACCCCACCTTTTTCAGAGAACATTTAAGATGAGCTACACGCTGGCCCAGTTGTAATTGATATCAGGCACTTTACACACGTAGGCCTCAATTAATCTTCCTAGAAGCAGATATGTTAGCAACTATCACCACCCCCTTTTACAGAGGAGGAGACTGAGGCACAAAGAGGGTAAGTGACTTGCCTAAGATTTTGGTGGAGTTGGGATTCAAGCAGTCTGGTTGCAGAGTCCCCCTGCTCCCACCTTGTCTTCAGCCACTCTGGTACCTACCTCTGTTTTATGGGGACCAGGACTGACATAGCAGGTAAGGCCCTCCCTCTCCCCTACCCTTCTGGAACTAGCATCCCAGGTTCAAGTCCTGGCTAATCCAGCTTTCTGCTAATGTGCCTGGGCAGCAGCAGATGATGGCTCAGGTACTTGAGTTCCTGCCACCCACACTGGGAGACATGATGGAATTGCTGTCTCCTGGCCACAGCCTGGGTAAGCCTTGGCTGTTGTGGCCATTTGAGGAGTAAACCAGTGAATGGAAGGTTGAAGATCTGGCTCTCTCTGTCACTCTGCCTTTCAAAACTAAATAAATAAATATTTTAAAAAGATCTGATTTACCAGGGAGCAGGGTTTGAACCCATGTCTTTTTTTTTTTTTTTTATTTCTTTATTTGAAAGGCTGAAAGAGAGAGAAGGAGAGAGAGAGAGAATTTTCCACCTGCTAGTTCACTCCACAAATGGCTGCAACAGCCAGGTCTGGGCCAGGCCAAAGCTAGGAGCCAGAAACTCTGCAAACAGCTAGGGCAGAGCCAGGCCAAGCCAGAAGCCAGGGATTCCATCTGGTTACCCATATGGGTGGCAGGGGCCCAAGCACTTGAGCCATCATCTGCTGTCTCCCAGGTGCATTAGTAAGAAGTAGATCATGCTGCTACTTGGGATGCCTACATCCCATATGAATGCCTGTTCAAGTCCTGGCTCCTCTGCTTCGGATGAGCTGAGGCCAGAGCAATGGAGGCGGGCAGCCTGTGGTGGGTGTGGCAGATACTTGGTCATGCACATCTAAGAAGACTTTTTATATCTTTTTGGCATGGTAAATTCTGTAATCAGCTGTTTGTCCAGCCACTGTCCTGCCAGGCTAGGCACAAGGTGGCAGGTGACCATCCCGTATGCCCCCAGGGACTCTGGTCCTATCTCCTCTGGATGTCCTTCCTAGAGCTGCCCTTCTGAGCTGAGGGTATTGATCTGCCTGCCTGATGACTGACTGTGCTCCCACCCCTCTCCCCAGGCCACACTCATTTCTCTACAATCTGCATTCTTTCCACATGTGTTCATTAGCGTGGGATGTCATCAGGGGGCATGTGAAGGGCTACCTTGGGCCACGTGCTGTGCTGGAGGCACTGCTGTTTGGTTTAGTCCTCTCAACACCTCTGTGAAGGACTCTGAGAGGTCCACAGGCCTCAGGTCACCTGGCAAGAAGAAAACGTGGCCTGGGACAAAAGCCCAGGACTATCTGCTTGTTCCCACTGTGGGTGGGTGCTTCCATGGCAGTCACGTGACAGAGGCTGCAGCCAGTATCAGGACTGCACCTGCATTCTACACTCTGGGAACACACAGGTGCTGTCAAGCCTGGCTGATTGGATGGCAAGATCCATGGGGCACAGATTCTTAAACGAATGCAAGGGGTGAGGGGGGGAAAGATGGGTTGGCTCATCCACGCTTCCGGAAGGTTTTGGACATTGACAAATGTGCCCTGCAGGACTCGTGTGCATGAACTCATGTGCAGTGTTGCTCTCAGTGCCGATTCCCGGGCCCTTTTGCTTCCTGGATACCTCATGTTCAGGCCCTGGGGAAAAACAAAGCCCTGGACAACACCAGGAGAACTCCCAGAGCAAGGAGGGGCGTGCTTTGAGGAAACTCTGCCTTGATGATCAGGGACATGGACGGCAGATAGGTGACAGAAGAACTCACAGACGCGTGCCTATGGAGGGAGGCTGGCAGGTGACCCAAGATTAGGCCAGTGGTGGCAAGTGGGCAGCCCCCGTCCCAAAGTCCCTTTCTTCAGGGCCCAGATGTCAGTTTTG